ACATTGCCGAGATATTTATCCGCCTCGATGATAGTCGCCTCAAGCCAGTGTCGTGTCTTGATCTCGTGGTCCCAGTCCATCTCCAACATTGGCACCTTCTCCAGTTGCTGCGCAATGATGCGTTTGAAGCCGTAGACTACCAGCTCGGACAAATAACAGACGGTAGAAAGTCTCTCGTAGCACTGAGGACCGTATTTCAGCAGCCCATAGTGCAGCAGCGGCAGATGGATGCAGAGCCGAGCGCCTGGCCCAATCGGCAGTATTCTCGGAACACCCATAATTCGGAAATACTCCTCATTCGTAAAGATCTTGGGTGCAAGATGGGGTAAAGACTGGATGAACTCTTCCGTTGTTATACCATTTTGGAACTGTGTATTTCCTTGGAATAGCTCTTCACGATCTTGGGCAAGAATCCCAGACTGGAAAGTTTTCGCCACAGGGTTGGACTGTGTTATAACGAGGATTGGACGTATAATGTCCAGAATGCGGGTGAGAAATAGGACATGAAGGCGATAGAAGCGTCGGCAGGGTCGGATTAGGAATTTCCAAAAGTCAAGGAAAACACCATGCAGTTCTGCAAGTATTTCCACAGACAGGTCGCCAGTTAAAGGAATGAGAGAGTCAATGAGTGCTTGGAAATAACGGTGTTCCATTGGGCTTATCCCTGTGAGCTCATCAAAATAACCGTTGATGCGCCCATGGAACCCTTCCGACGTTATGTCCTTCATAACATTAAGCGCAACCACACGTCCGTAATTGTGTCGCAAGGCACCAAGCCAGAACTCTTTCACATAGTTGATGTGTTTATCAGAGGCAATGTCATCAGGGAAGATGGATTGCAGGTAGTGAATTTCATCGTCAAACAAAGATTGAATAGCCTCCTGCTTGTCTGGAGCCTGCTCCTGACCCAACGGATATGGTGGCGAGGGGAGTCGGGAAAGAACATCGTGGTGAATTGCCAAAAGCTCAGGACTTGGTGCATATAAGGGTTTGACGCCACCAAAAGCCGAGTTAAGTGACATAGGTCCCATCAGTGCAATAAGAATTCGTTCGCGGTCTCCCAGGTTCCGGTCTACCCGGATGTCGAGGCTCGAGGTGATTGGGACAGCAAGATTAACCACCTTGTATGTCTTCACATCTGAAGAGGAGATGTTGTTTGCGTTGCAGAAGTTGGTGAACCTGCACGGAACGCCACCCTTCAGATCATTGACAACACGCCGAGCTGGGTCTTCTGTAGTCATGCCCGCATACAGAAAGCAGTTAGGCTCTGGCTGAGATGAGGGCGTGGAATTGCAGAGGAATTTTGCATTAGGCGCTTCAGCAATGATGTCGCAGAGTTTATTGGCTACCGTCTCCAGACCAAAAGGGCTCCAACTATCTTCGATAGCCTTCCGAAAACTTTCAGGACCATGTCTAAGCACGGTGAGCTTAGCCAGCGAATTGGGGGCTTCCTGAGGGTGAAGGAACAGAGTCTTTGTTATAGCAGTGGCAATGGCCTGTCTGCCCTTGATAGGCACAAAGCGCAGATAGAATTGGCAGTGCTTGGCCTCCTCCTCCTCCTCCATATCGCCTGCGCATAGCTCCAATACACCATTTGCCACAAAGGGCTTGGGATCAAAGCATCCGCTGAGAGAGTACTGCACAAGTGCGACCGCAAGATCGAGTGGTACATCTTGCCAAGCCGGCGAGGTTGTGGGAATGATGCTTTGTGAATGAGACTCGATCCAGCAGTGAGCAATGTTCTGTACATCGGCCAACGTTGTAAAGCTTTGAGTGCTTGCGATTGCTCGTTGTCGGGTTGCTTCCGCTTCCAGACAGTCACGTGTTTCGTGAATGAGAACTGGGGCCACGCGAGGCGCAAGTTCACGTCCTTTCTGGCGTAGTCGTTGCAGCTCTTGCTGGGGATCGTATTTCTCTTGTCGCTTGGCGCGTCGTTGGGCAGCAGCCTGTGACGGTATATTGGCATGTTTTCGCGTCGACTGCTTCCTGTTTTGCCTTCTGAGGATGCATAAGACCACCAGAAACATGGGAAGAGAGGCCAACTACCTTCGTTGGTAGTGTTGGTGGTTTCCCAACCTTCTTAAGCTGCCCAGTTGACGTCTAATCAAGTCAGCAATAACCCAAGTAAAGTGCTGGGCCACGCACATCAGCAGAACTCTTTTCTCTATTAACATCCACAAGCTTTGGCTTCTTGTTTGTTACAGGCTACCAGCACATCAGTTTGGCATGAGACAGAAGCAGTCGACAGACCTCTGGAGCACTGGAAGAGCTCTGAATAAGATAGTCAGCTTGACGCGTAGATGAAGGAACAATGCGTCCATACCTTCCGTTTATTAATGTTTTCCATTAATTATATTTGTATTAGGTCGAGGCAGGGTAATGGCACGATGTCCAGCGTGCTATCAGAGTATGTCGAGTACGGAAAAGAGGCAAGCCTCAATATTCTTCTGTTGTCACGATAGTCACACATTTCTGTTTGAGACAGGCTTGATATCCGCCTTCAATGATGCAACTGCTGCCTGCCCATGCTAGCTCTGTGCTGTTGTCACCAGGCATCCACGCAAGATGCCCCCAGACCAGGTACAAGTGAGGTTTGTGCAGCCAACACAGAGACCAGCACAGGCAAGATACAGTAATATATGTCAGATGACAAGAGCGAACTTGACCATCGACAGAAGGTAGAGAGAGACAAACTGCCCAGCTCTGGTTTCTTTGGTGAGTTGGATGCCTCCAGCGAAAGATTCACTCACCTTGTAGATAGCATGAACGTGCTCGTTCACCAGCTGACAAAAGCAGATAGGAGGTACCAAATTCAATTGGATTCACAGGCGCATTACTTTAGATACAGGAATTGAGCTACAAAAAAATAAGCATTTGATCTCGGCCCGATTGAGAACACACCAAATAAGTAACAGTCGTCCGATTTGCTTCTCCGTTCCGAGCTTAGATTGTAGGCCAGAATTCGTGGCCAACCCACAGTATTCTCGCGGATTCCAAACATTAAAGCCCACCAGAATGGCGGCAAAACCAGAGACTGGCCACACAGGATATCGGGACAGTGTCGCTTCCATCGTTCTGACCACACATTTTGCTCATTCCCGGTAGATCACGTGCCCCGATCCGCTGGCCTCTTTGGTGTCGCCGTTGCTGCTGGGACTCTGACGACTCAGCAGGTGAGGACTGACAGTGCTGATTTGACCTTGAGTCGCCGGAGGTGCCAAGGTGTCGACGCGGAACTTGTCAGACGGAGTTCGGGTGATTTTCAAGAACTGTGCGGAGGTGAGTTAGTGAATGGCCATCGCTATCAGAAAAAAACAGGGGGGCATACCGTGGTGGACGACCAGAAGAACGTTGGATTCGCATCTAGCTTGGGGAAAGCGAGCACGACAGGCAGAGGGAGGCGAGGGGATGGAGGATGGGAACGCTGATGCGACAAGCACCAGGTTTTTCGGAGTCGAGGGGAAGGCACTCGCTACCTGCCGTTGTCTTCAACATCGTCAGTTCACTATCTCGCTGCTCGTCTGACAAGACTGACCTTTGGTCTTCGTGTATTCGCTCCACAGGCGCCCGCGGCGTGAGAGGTCGCGCGGTTGCAGGAGACGCTGAAACGAGGTCAGTTCAACGTTGCACTGCTCTTCTGACCAAGCTCACCTTGTTCCAGTAGTTCAAGTCAGCGCCGACCTGCCTCATCGCCCGCATAGTGGTTGTCAGCGTGCATGCTGACCAAGGCTTTCGACCAAGTCGTGTATTCGCGGGCGCCGCGGGCGTGAGAGCTCGTGGAGAAGGTTGTGGGAGAAGCTGAAAAAAAGGTCAGTTCAATGTCACGCTGCTCGTCTGACAAAACTGACCTTTGGTTAAAGTCACCGCCGACCCGCCTCATCCCTCGCTCGCCCGTGTACTGGTCGTCCCTCGCGCTTGCCCGCATTGTTGTCAGCGCGCGTGCTGACCAAGGTTTGTTGTGTATTCGGCGGGGTTACGCAGGCGCTCGCGGGCGCGAGAGCTCGCGCAGGCGCCTAGAGGTTGCGGGAGACCAGTATCGGGGGGTGACATCAAGCAAGTGTGAGCCTGGGTGAGGGATGTTGGTGCAGAGCCAGCCTACAACCGCTGAATGAGTGGTCAAGACAAAGGTGCTGGTCGTCAAGCAGATTGATGTCAAGATGTCATGCCACAAGAGGGCAACGCTCGATCGCAGGGTCCAACGCAACAGCTCCGTGTTCGGACACGACTCTTCCGGGACGTCGGTCATGCTTCGTTGGGTCGCTGGACGCAGACTGGAGAACCTGGCAAGAGCTTCATGAATGTTCTTCCCTTGAATTGAATCAGCGGCTGGGCTCGCAAGGATTTTCAAACACACACAACAATGGGTAACACAAATGTAAAAGCTAGCTATGTAATATAGTACTTGCTCTTGTCTAAAGTGTGATGATAAGTCTTTATCTGGTTGGCTTGACCTGTTTCTCTTCTCTTTGTGCCACAGGCAGATAGCTAGGCACTTGTTGATACTTTTTATCCAGAAAGTCATGTACAGGGGTGCTGTGCAAGAGTTTTAGGTCCAGAAAAACTGGAAATCAGGACGTTTTGGCCCAAGTGATTGCAAATAGTGGCTATGCTATTTGCAATCATTGGGTCATGTGATGACACGAGCTCGGATGAGTGGTCACCTGATTAGTCCACCTGGGCCTCTTCCCTCCGTATTTGCTCTTCTTTCCTGTTACACAAAAATAACACTATGGCCGAGTGGTTAAGGCGACAGATTCGAATATCTTATCTTATCTGTTTCGGTTTCCGAGCGCAGGTTCAAATCCTGCTGGTGTCGCTTTTTATGTCCGAGTTTTTTTTTTTTTTTTTTTTTTTTTTTTTGTATTCCACTTTTCTCTTTGGCTAGAAAATTACTCTCAAAGCTGTAAATTACGGTCCCAGTCATATACCATGACCAAGTAAATTAATATCTCGACAATAAATTCACCAGTCGCGGTCGTTGGATTTCTTTTCAACATAACTTAAACCCCAATTCCTTTCGTCAACTCCTCCGTGTGCCTCCACAGGGCCTCAGCATCCTCTTCCGATCCTTGCACCGTATCCATTCCAATAGCATCCCCTTCCGGCCCAGTTCTGCCGGCTCCAGCAGAAGCATGGAGAATTGCATAAAGTTGGTGTTCCCCACACTGCTCGATGGACTTGGCCTTGCGCGCATATATGATTTTGATCAGGTAGCCTATGAGGCGGAGCCGCCAGGTCGGTGAGGAGGCCCAAAGCGGCGTGCTGACTGCCCCGGGACTGGCGTGGACAAATACAAGAGATGGGTACCGTTTGGCAAAGGCCATGATCATCAGGTCCATATAGGTCGCCATTGCTAGCCCTGCTTGGAGCAGTCCGGGCATGGAGGTCGCGGCTGCCATCGTCTGCTTCAGGCCAAGGTCGTTGGGGTCCATGGGCTTCCCAAGTCCCGCGTTGAGAACTGAAAACACTCTCGCGTCTTCGTTTGCGGATTGAGCGGCAAGCAGAGAGGGAAGCAGCCCGGCGACAAACGCCCATCGCGAATAGTAAACCACCGCAATGCTCTTGTCGATGCCCTCAGCGGTGATGACGCTTTCCAATGTCACCGCACCAGCGGTCATGACGAGCATATTGATCCTGGGGAAATGCGTAGACAGGGTAGCGCAGACGCGTTTGACGTTGGCAAGGGAGGTGAGGTCGCACTCGACAAACTCGTGGATGACACCAGGGGGTTTGGCGATGCCGTCGATGATCTGAGCGGCTGCGACGCTGTTTCGGCCCACAATAATTATGTGCGCTTTTCCGTGGCTGTAGCGGCCGAGTGCTTCAGCGATACCCCGGCCAATACCAGAGGTCCCGCCAACAACAACAAAAACAGGCGTGTACGATGTCGGCAGAGTCCAGGACGCGTTGGCGGCTTTCACTTCTTCGAGAAGGGGCATTTGGACTCTAGAATTGACATCTTCCAAACGACCTCGGTGCTTTAAATACGGTGCTGGTCGAAGAGGAAAGGAAGCTGATTCATCACCGCTTAGTCATCGAAACCCAACTTGAACGCGTCTCCCATTGCTTCGTTCTGGATCGAGTCTGCATCGCCTCGAGAGGAGCACCGACACAGGAAACTAGCGGCTGCTAGCTCTTTCCATTGGAGACAACTCTTGCGAGCACATATATCGACCTGCAAAACTCTCGGTTGCGACCCGAAGCCATTCAAATGGCTCTTCCACTCGTATCTCTGTCCGGCCGGTTAATCTTGTCCCCGCCAACAGAGAGAGATGACCCACACTTTGTTGCGCTGAGAAGCCATCCAGAAACACGGCAATACATTCCTCGCCAATTTTTCCCGGACAATTTCACTGTCGAGGCCGCTCGCGCCCGTAGAGAATCTCGTGCCTCTGATCCAGCCATCGTCGACTTCAGCATTCGCTCAAAAGACGGCGACGAATACCTGGGCGCCATTGGGATTTTCCATGTCGACGAGGCCATGAAGTCATGCGAGTCTGGAGTCGCTATCTCACCCGCCGCGTTTCGAACTGGCGTGGCCACGGAGGCATTCCATGCGGTCATGCGGTATGCATTCGAGACGCGGGGACTGCATAGGGTCGTATTCCACACTGCTGCCTCCAACGTCCGAATGCGCGGCTTGCTGGACGGGGCTGGTGCCAAATTGGAGGGGATCTTACGCGAAGTCTGGCCAGCGAACGAGGGCGATGGATTCTCCGATGCTTGTGTGTACAGCATTTTGGCCCAGGAGTGGACGGAAACCGTCAAATCACGACTAGAGGAACGTATATCTAGACTCTGATGATGCGCTGCTGCAACTTCGTTTTCACGGCGCTCTCCCACTCGTCTTCGAGAAAACTGTACAGGCAAACACTCATATAGCTCTTCCCGCCTCCCAACGGCCAGGCATCGCGCATAACGCCCTCCAATGTTGCTCCCGCCATATCCAGCCACCCTCGCATTCCTACGTTGTCCACACTCGTGCGAAACGCAACCCGATGTAGACCAAGCTCCCCGAAAGCATACCGCAATAGCAAGTACAAAGCCTCGGTCGCATACCCGCCTCTCGCATACTCCGCCCGAACCAGAATTCCCATCTCGCACGACCTGCGCTCCAAGTCGATGTTGCTGATAGAGGTGGAGCCAATGAACGCCATATTATTACTGGCTTCGTGGATGTGGAACGCCAGCCGCGACTTGTCTTCCCCCCGAGCAAGTCGGAGACTGTCCTCGATGGTACAAGTCTCAGGGAAGTACGGCAAGTATTGGCGAACGTGAAGTTGGGACCGGAGCGCGGCGACAAGGTGATCGTTTCCCTCAGTGGGTGGTCGGAGCTCTACTCTGCCAGATAGAGTGAGAGTGGGTGGGACTGGGAAAGACATAGTCAGGTTGAGTGGACATCCGAGCTTTTGTATCAGCGCGGTGGATTTCCGTTAGTTTTGAAGGGGTCACGTATTTGTGCTGATGCAATTTTGGCTCCGCCACGTTGTAAGCACGAAACTATTCACCGCCCCAATCGGGTCGCTTCCGATTTTCCCCGGAGGTGACCATTTGGCTTCTAAGTCCATGATATATTCTGCAGTACAGGTAACCGATAAATCCAGCATAAACATAACTACAAACTTGCGTTTAATGACATTGACACCTACACGTTGTTCATTCATCATCCGAATCAGTGGCAAAAACCACGGCTCGCTCCCGCTGTGTGCCTATAGACACCTCGCTTGCTGTCATGGTATCCCGTAGTCTTCCCAATGCCTCGAATTCAGCCTGGGTTAGTGGGCTATCTGTCCTTTCCATATCCATCTCGTAAGGCGAAGATGAGCGGGCCAATAGGCCACCAACAGGCCCGTCGTACTCTTGCGGTGTTGTCGTCAGATCGGCTTCTTCTTCTGGTGGGGGCAGATCCGGTTTCGTCCATATACGCACAGCGCCATCGTGGCTTCCGGTGGCGAACATGAATGGGTCGTCGGCAGCGTGATTCCAGGCAATACATGTCAGGTCTCCAGTTTGTTGGGCTTGGGCGCGGATATGTCGGAGGAGAGTGCCACTTTCTTGGTCCCATATGTGGATATCTCCGGCTACCAAACACGGTTCAGACCAAGGAAGACGAAAGGATGTCGTAGATGTTACCTTTTCCGGCGCAAAGAACCAATTCGTCGTTCATACCTCCGAAATAGCTTGGCCCCGCAAACTCAACAGCATGCTTTGGCATATATGTGTGCCTGGAGTTCCGTTAATCTCTGTTTCAATCAGAAAGAAATGGTGCGCTACCTGAGGGTTAGTCTTGCCACCAAAAGGTTCGGGTTTTCTCGGTCCTTAAGCAGTTCCATTTTCCATAGTTGGGGAGGCGCCTTATTCTCGTAACTGACCAGCGCAACAAGCCCTTGTCGCGTATTCTTTGCCAATGTCACGTCTCGCACATCATTCAGTACCGGGGTTTGACTGGACAGACAATGAGATAAGCCAATGAGAGTTATTACCACTTACTGTTCGATTTGCTTGGTTTCCGTGTTGTAGACTAAGTCAATTAGACACAAAACGCCTTTGAAAAATGTAAAACCCACCGGCAAGACGCTTTTCTGCAGGTGATTTACTTGGCTGCAACCCGCTCGGCGACTCAAGTAATGGACCAACACCCAGAAGACGGACACCATCCGGCGTTACAGCGACATCGTGAAGTTTCATTCTTCCAAAGTCGTATTGATCCAAAACCTAGAGCAAGATTATCAGCCGTCATCGTATCTTCTTCATGTCGACGCACGTTGCCGCGAAGATCCAACTTGGTGACCACGTTGTCTTCAACCGAGAGGAACGCCTGACTGCCTGGGAACCACGTTATCGACTCGACATTGGTCTGGCGGTCGATCGTCTTCTGACAGACGCCGTCTTCCGTCCACACCTTGACACCTCTGACCAGTTTCGTGAGCAGCATGTTCCCGGTATCAGACCTAACTCTGATAAGGAAAAATATGTGGTGAAGAAAGTCGTAATTACCATGCAACTTGGCCGACAAAACCTTGAGGATGTGCAAGTACACGATGGAGCGAAAGCGAAGGCTGTCCTATGATAAGACTTGATTTGCCTGACGAGATAGAAGTATCACCTTGTGAACCCTCCAAACAATTGAGGTACGATCCCAACTAGAAGTTGCCAGAAACCTGCCATCTGGGGAGAACTGCAAGTGCCGCACGAGCGCCTGGTGAGCTTCCAACGCTTCAGTAGCCACAAGGGCCATTAATTTGGGTTTCAGCGTCGTTACGCGGGAGCGGACCAGCATTGCTTTCACAGGCTCCTCAGCAAGAGTCCGTTTCCGTTCCATGCCCGTGGTAGATGAAGATGTGCGCTGCCGATGTGGGACATGGGCTCCAAATGGCGCAGCTGCAACGGCACGCATCTTGACCGTCTTAATTGCATTCCGCCAGAGAACCTTTCCTCTTGTCGGACCCACACTATTGCTACTTGCGAGTAGCGGTGAGGCTGGGGCACTTGGTTCGTCCTTGGACAAACGACCTTGAGTCAAAGTGGGAGTGCTTGAAGGTGACGTTTCGGAGATCGGAGATGCCGACGTTAATCGTAGCTCAGAAGCACTTTGCAGAGCAGCGGCGCTTAATGTGGTGGAGGGTTCGCGAGAATGGTTGTTAGAAACTGGAAGAACATTGGCCTCGAGATCATCGGTGCTCTTTTCGGAGTCGCTGCTATTTGAAAGCAAACTGACAGTTTTGTTGCCGACGCGTTTGAGACCCTTGTGGAAAGCTTTGAACCGACGTCGAACTCCATGCCAGACTTTCCTCATTCGCTCGACACCGGGGAGAGCCATAAATTGTGCCTTCAAGTCAAGAAGAACATCTAGAAGCCATTTGCGACCTCGATGGCGTAAAAATACGTAGCGTTCCATGGCAAACCACATTGAAACGGCAGCCAGGCCGAAAGAGGTGAAGATAGTGAAGACAGTGGTGATGATAGACGTGACCAGAGACTATTCACGAGGCTTTTTTTTAGTGCAGACAAAGTGGAAGAATACAAATCATACCTGGTTCGATGCATATGCGAACAAGCAGAGCCCTATGGAGAAGCAAGCAACCGACATGACCAAGAATACCAGTGGGGATCTCTTGATCCAAATGAGGACCCACCATGGGACTCGATGCCCAGGGGAACGACTAAAACATTCCAGTCAAGCTGACATCGGGAGAGGAAGTATTGGCACTTACTACATAGCTTGCTTCCAAGTTAGTCCAAGTAGACTGTTCACTGCAGCTGCGATACTGAATACGAGGGACATAAACCAGAAGGAGTTGACTGCGTCTTGTATCGGGGTCCCCACAAGAGCAAATGAAAATTGGAGTGTTGTTGCGGTGACAGCAGAAAAGAAGGTTGCCACTGTGGACAGATTGAGACTGGAAAATATCGTGAGTAAGGCTGAAGACCAAGAGGTTAGCCGTTAGCTTACTGAAAACGCTGTTAGCTTCCATCGCGGATATCTGTAGCAGTAACTTACCAGGTTATCCGTTTTGTGCTTTTGACCGAAGCGAATGGTCGGAACACCAACTTCGACGAACATGATAAGAGTGGACGTGATGCTATCCAAATGCTCTCCCATCTCCGAAGCGAGATCATGGACATAACGCTGGACAGCCGGGTAACGGAATTGCCCATTATATACCAACAAACAGGAAGCCCAATACTAGCCCAAGATGAGACTGGTGAAATCGAATAACAGCAACTCACCCTCAGGTCGCCTTCGAAGGAGTTGATTGAGGCGTTGATTGCGTCGTCCGTAAACTCGGGAAATTCGTTCAGGGAGCGACCAAATCTGCTTAGGTTGTCTGCCAAAGCCTGAAATTGTTGCGGAAACGTTTCCTGTATGGGTTCATTTATTGTTATTTTTACTGAGTGTGGGGTGACGCACCAAGTCCAAATTCTCGTCGATAATAGGTCTTGATATATGTGGCGGCGCAGCTTGACCTGCGCCAGGAATCTTCGACTGCTTGCCTCGCCGCCTGGTCTTGATTTGTGCAGTAACTGCCCCTTCTCGCACAACGTGGGTGATTTTACGAGGAAATAGGTCGGCCGCATTTTCTCGGTATAAGAAGAGCAATTGAGCTATTTGCTCGCGGAGGTGGAAGGCTGAAGAGAGGATAGCGACCGAACTACCCAATTGCCCTGTTGTCAAGTCGGGTGAGTGAATGTTTGGGACAACCACAAGCACACCCACGTGTAGCATTGGCAAAGTTACGAAGCTGTTGGACGTATGAGCTCGGCAGGCAAATGCCAAGAAAAGCGCACTTGTTTGTCAAGGCTGTCGATTCGTCTAGATAGGTCTATGGTGAGTTGGGTGCATGGTATATGAGGTCACTCACCGATGGAAACGATTGAATTGCTCTGCACCAGCAGCTTGACGGTGTTCATCCACAGATGCTTAGTGGTGAAGATCATGAGTGCGGGCCGGCTGATGGTTGACTTTTAGGCTACTCACGAACGTCTTTGTCGTCTTCGAAGCTCGGTTGTTGGGTATTGTCCGCTGAGAATAAGGATTTGGTAAGTATGGATATAGTGCCGTTGGTGGTTGCTCACGTAAGTCGGCGGCGCTGCCTGGATGCTGCAGCAGCATTTCTACCAAACTGAGAATGGTTTCTCGGCGAGTGGGCATTCGGTTGGGGGTATCACGGTGTTCAGCGTCAGTGGACATCTGAGCTGGCTCAGCACACGAGCGGACACGGAATAGTTGAGTAAGATTGAATGACCTTTAAGTTTGTGGGCGTTTAATGTAATTTTGTGTGTGGGAAACGCGCAAGTCGTATCTCGTGAGTCGTGGGAGTCGTGGACTGGCGGTAAACGGGGTTAACGGTGGCCAGTTTGGGCGTGAGGGTTCGTAGTGCGCAGAGGAAGGTTGTGGGGTAGCGCAAGGACTACTGTCGCCTATTTCCCGAACTTCTCTCTTTGACAGTTTTCATCAACGCCGGTCGGCAGGCTGGAATAAACTTTTGCGTCATTTCACAGAAAAAGCCCCTCAGGGCCAGGGAAGAGCTATGATGAGATTGAGTAATTAGAGAGCTCCTAGCACTCGCAGAGGCAACAACAACTTCAGTCCATCCTGAAGCAAAACATCGTACTGAGAACGGAAGCAAATTTTGGCCGGTTGTTCGCGTATCAATTTGCACGTGACCGTAATGATTTCTTTCACACCCTTCTCTACACTCCATGAAGCTGAACATGAAGTTTACAATGACGATGAGGCCATGGACATCGATGACGACGTGCAAGTCTCGAAAATCACACTCCCAGGCGAAACCATAACTTCTTCCCAAGCTTACATGCGGTATGTGGTTTGCACTATTCAAAAATTATCGCTCATCTCTACCTATAAGCGGCCATGGAACCTATGTCGACAATGAACTAGTCATTGCATCTGTCGCGGGGACCATAGAACGGGTCAACAAGCTTGTTACCGTCCGCGCCGTTTCAACAAAGTACAACGAGCCCCAATTGACCGTTCTGAACTGAGTTTCGTCTCAGATACAATCCCGAAGTTGGAGATTTGGTGGTCGGGAGGATTACGGAGGTTCAGCCTCGTCGATGGAAAGTCGATGCCAACTCAAGACAAGACGCGGTCCTCATGTTGTCGTCTGTTAACTTACCAGGTGGTGTGCAGGTGTGTGTTGACAGTCTGAATGGACTACACCCTCATGAACGCTTAGCGGCGTAAATTAGAAAGCGACGAGCTTCAAATGCGAACATTTTTTGAGGAAGGCGATCTTCTTGTGGCCGAAGTCCAGGCTTTTTTTGCTGATGGAGCTATGTCTCTTCATACTCGGTCCCTGAAGTATGGCAAGGCTCGTGGTATTGAATCCTTTTTTCCATTCTCTGACGAACAATGCAGTTACGCAATGGCCAACTTGTCGTTATTCCCCCCATTCTTGTGCGCCGATTGAAATCACACTTCACAACTTTACCTTGTGGTGTTGACCTTATTCTTGGTCTGAATGGATATATCTGGGTCAGTAAGCATGTGCAAGAGAATGAGCAGGAGGGAGAGGAGGGCTTCGATGCTGAGACGATCTATTCCAATCGTAATGATGTCAGTTCCTTATTTGTCCTTCCACTTATACTCACTCTCCCTCAGCCCATCGACGAATCCACGCGCAGCGCTATATCCCGTGTCACCAATATTATTCGAGCTCTTGCAGCTCACTTTGTACCCTTGACGGACACACTGTTGCTCGAAGCGTATGAATGGACAGTGGAGAACGACATAGATGCAAAAAGCCTGTTGTCTGAAGACATTAGTGACGCTTTAGTAGCCTCGATAGCCGGTGGAACATGATTTTTGTGCGACAGCTTGGATGAATCGTTTGTAAGGACCGCAAGTTGGTCAGCTTGAGGGGTTCGGATCACTTTTGGACCCTACTCTTTCCCTCCATCGGCCATGGCCACCCTGACTCGACCTGCGACGAGTAGAGCTGAGGACTCTTCAGCGCAGGCGTTGGACTCAATTCTCACCTCATCTGTCCCTACTCCATTTCCACGCGAACTTCTTCAAGCGCCAGAAATCGTTGCAACGATGGAAGCAGGCCCGTCCCGTGTCATTGAAGTGCCACCAGCTGTGGTTCAGGTCCGTATTTCGTCTCTATCTACGAGGAGTCTCAGAATATATGCAGCAAGAACTACTACCCTCCATCGCCTTTGTCGAAAAAACTTGCCTAATGACGCTCAATACCCTTCTTTCGGGGCCGACTCGATGGACGCCCATTGTCCCCGACCGTAGACACTCGATGCCATCGTCCCCCACAGCGTCTGCTGCGCCGCAAGCGGAATTTCAGTCCTCATCAGCCTTGCAAACACTAGTTTCCAATCTACGGAGTCAAGATAGCGAAATGGTCGAGCTACAAGGCAGCTCAGACACGGCTTTATTGAACGAGCTTCGTAGCCGTGTAGACCAAATGGCTCCGTCACTCGAACCCGCCGATGCTCATTTAGCAGAGTCCATCGTTTCACTCCTCACTCATTTTAACCAACTTTCAACCCTCTATTCAACGGATAATACTTCTCGCTCCATGGCTCTCCACGAAGAGCCCCTTCTTCCGCCCCGCGATCTCTTTAATACGCTGAAACGGCAATTGAGCGACCTCCAGATTGAAAGACAGACGTCCCAACACGAACCCCTGCCACCAAACACACCTCCCGTCATAGCAGTCGAAAAAACGCTGTTGTGGTCAAAGATTGATGAAGAGCTTGACAACGTTCTCGCCCTTTGCAAGGAACACGCCGAACGCCTCGACCATCTGCCTCCCCAATACGACTATGACGACCTGGAGCACCCCCCGCAGTATGATCTCCAGTCTCCTCGAGCCAGTCTAGAAGAACCGAAGGGCAAAGCAACTCTGCAGTCTCCAACTCTTGCAACCACGAACGAGAAAATGCGTCTGGACCTGGAAGCTGTAACAATGGCGATCGACCGGCTCTATCTCGTTGCCCCTCAGTTGCATAACCAACGTGTGGAGCTCAAGTCATCCAAAGTCGCCCAAATGGAGAAGGCAAGGAAGGAAGGAGCGTCGTCAGTGGCTCGGGGAAAGCAGAAGGAAAACGATACGCGTGATCTAGAGAGGATGTTAGAGCTTATTGGGAAGGCATCAGAACGTACATTGAAGGACCAGTCAGTTATTCTTGAGGGCGGAATGAAATCAAGGCTAGAAAGGGCACGGCAACGAGATGTCGCTAAGGTACGTTCTAATGGAGTAAGATTCATTGAACTCAATATCTTGCAGCGAGAAGCTTTCGTGGAACACTTGGCCGGCTACTCAGACGCTCGGCGCTTCCACCAACAAGACGCGATTCTGCAGCCACATCGGACAAAAAGCCCAGAAGCCATGCTAACCTTGCCTGAATTCATCAGAGAGCCTATACCTGATAGCGTTCGCTTGCAGGACCCTAACGCAATGCTTACCCTTCCTGAATTCGTAAAAGAGATGCCTCCGCCACATGTTGTTGAGCGTTCTTCACCTCCAACACCTCCTTCTGCTACTCGTATCAAGTCTAGACGATCCCGCAGTCTTTCTTCCCCTTCACTTTCATGGTTAAGAAGCTCAAGCTCACGGTCAACCCTCAAATCTGAAATGAGCAACTCTGCGTCAATTGAGTCTGTACTCGAAACAGATAGTAAGTCCTGATTCCTTCCCTTGGGGCAGTGGGCCTTACGCGCACTTTCAGCTAAATTTTCTGTGACCTACGTCGCAGAGCATCACGAGAATCTCCATCATATACTCGTCTTCCTCACTATTCATGGTGCTACCCCTGGTGTTGATATCGAAGCCGAAGTCTTACCATCAGGCGGCGGAGACTCAGAATCTGGCGGGGACTATTTAGTTATCAAAAGCGGGGCCCATACATCACTTCCATTGGTTCTCCCTGGTCGAACTGCTCCAGGCAAGCAGCCAGTTCGTGTCCAAGGCTCACATTTCGAAATCAAATTGTCAACATTATCCTCCTCCAACTCATCATCCCCCGATCTCTCTTATTCCGCACCACTTCTCGACGCAACTCAGCTAAATACTTCGGCGCCATCAACTTTCATATGCGCTTCTTGTTCTTTACCATTGGTTCAATCTGCAGCGGCGGTGCAAACGTATCAAGATCTGCCTTCTGAGCATTGGGAAGAACTTGTGGACGCTTGGATGTGTCATTCGGACCAAAAACTTAATGAGCGGGTAATGAAACAGGGGAAGGGAGGTTTTTGGCCCGGACGAGGGCAGGCACTTGTTGGAGGGAGTTATATTTTGTTCGAGGAACAAGCTATGACGAGGCAAAATCTATCTCCGGCGGAGGAAACGAAGGTGCGTCCATCTACGATATCCTTTTCTTTTCGGACCAAAAAGAAGACCGGCGTTGGGTACACTTACCAACGGTCGTTGTCCCGCACGTTCCTGAAACATCTTTCTACCCCGAAAACCGTTCAGGTTTTCTGTGTGGTGGAGGTTGTGAATGGCTCGTTGAGGGCATGGCTCCATCGGTTGATACAAAGCGTCCCAAATTGATTCGACTCGCTCTTTTAACAACTCTCGAGTAAAGAGGTCAATCTCTCGGGGGCTACAATCGAGCGCACAGTTTTCGCTCCGTTTTAACTTCATATCCTCGTGTTTGCTCAACTTTTTTCTGTAGCGTGGTGAGGATTGGCGGCTCGTTCGGTGTTTATGTGGTGCTGTTGTTGGACGTTGTCAAGAGCATGAGGCGTCCGGGGAGATGCAGAATGTCTTCCGCATGCTCAAATACGCCATCCGACCAGTGAGCTCCGCAACAGAGTGAGTTTCTCGACGAGTCGCACCACTTCAGTCCGCTTATTCTTTACACAGACCGTCAAGATTGCCGCTTTCTGCATTCATCGTTGAAGATATGGCGGAGTTCGTTGAGGCCCATGCGTCATACCGCTTTATCATACTCGACGAAGAAGAAGAAAAAGCGCGAATATTGGTGCGGCTAACACTTGTTTCAAGCACAAAGCTGATCGTCTGTAGATATGGCTCTTCAAACCCAACATGCGGATGGCTTATACTACTCAAACACAATATGCCCTCCCTCGCAGTGCCTCGATTCGGACCGCTAAAGTGCTGTACAAACTTCTCGGCCCTTCTGAAGTAGTCACAGATTTGAAAAGGTAGATGACTTGACTGTTTTTTTCCCTTCTCTTGTGCTAATCTTATCTAAAGTATCCTCAACACCTATCCCGGCTTCCCGCAAGCCGAGTATCTGTTCTACCCAATGGACATCTGCCGACAGCTAGCCGCAGTCTTGAAGGAGAGCAATAGGTCGTATCCGGAGAGCATGCGAGTAATGACGGGTCTCGAGGTGGGTTGGTTGCGACGGGCGTGAACTAATTATCTTATATCAGCGAGAGCCGGTCTCGATTTACTTCTATTTGCTCCCTCATCACACTCACTCATATCGCCCTTGTGTATCGCTTTAATGTTTGTATTACTCAGTGTCTTGTAGATACGTAGAAAAAAAACAGCGCTTTCGGTTTGAAGGGCTGACTCAGCAATCAACCAAGCATAGCCACATCAATTTGGACCCTCCCTTTGTCCCACAATCCTTCATGAGCGAAAGGCGTCAATCGACGCGAATTTCTGCAGCTAGAGCCCGGGACACGTCGTCGTCGAAGAATGTACCTAATGCTCAAGCCTCCGTAAGTGACGACGACGACGGTTTTGAGGGGTTCAGCGAGGAAGACTCGGACAAGGATTCAGAAAGTGAAGCTGATTATGGTGGACAACTTTGTTTCGCTTCAGAAGAAAGCCGCTGAACTGCTGCAGGTCCACCGAGTGCCAAAAGACAAAAAACCGCAAAAAGCGCCGCAGTAGCAAAACGTGGTCCTACTACCAAGGGTCGCCGACAAAAGAACTGCCCGTTGGTCGAGTTGCCACTGGACGTTTTGTTCGAGGTGAACAGAAAGTGTCGCTTCTCATCATGATTCGTATTCATGCGGTGTTGTTCAGATCTTTGGAAGATGCCCTCCTGAAGACCTGATCTCCTTCAGTCGGACAAGCCACACCTTACGCGCACATCTCTTGTCGGAGGCCAGCGGGGGTATTTGGAGGGCTGCACGTGAACACGCGGATGGCCCTCCCGTTTGCCCTGGAATGTCAGAGCAACAGTGGGCACATTTGTTATATGGCAAGCCTGTGTGCCAGGTATGTTAGGTTCATTTTACTTTACTGCTGGCCAGTTGACAAGTATTTTGCCAGTCTTGCGGAGCCCGTAATATCCAGCGCGTAGACTGGGGGCTCCAACGACGAATATGCGTCGCCTGTCGGAAGGGAAAGTACGTCTGCCGTTGTAGTGGGTATGGCCTCTGAATGTTGAAATAGCTTGGTCGTTAAATCGCGCTTCAAGACCTCATACCCAGACGTTGATCTTAGCATCCTCGATCTATTGCTATATACTCATAGTTGCGCTGTCGCGATTACTTCTTTTATTTTGCGCTGAAACTTGACCAGTCGGTGGGCATTCGCATGGCCACGCATCGAGTAGCTTCTTCTATTGGCAAGCTGATATCACAGCGATGGTACAAAAAATGCAAGCACTCGACAAAGACATACAACTACGTGTCCCAGGTGCTCGGAAAAGAAAAGAAGCATTCATCGCCGAGCGGAAAGCTTTCATTGAATCTATTGCAGAGGTACTTCCCTTTGTACTGGCGACTTCTTCGACTACTGACTCCCTGAACATAGCATGCGGAGGTGTGTTTAAGCTGGCTTGATGGAGCGAAAGACCGTCGGCAGAAGGAGAAGCAGCTTGTGCAAAAGAAGAGATTTGACGAGTCCGTGTTTCTCTCTGCTATTCTTCGGTGTTGACATTTCGACTCAGCATTAAGGCGAAGCTCATGGCTTTGGGCTACGAAGAAAAAGATATGCAAGTGATTCGGTGGCAAACCAGTGTGCAGCAGGCTACTCCATTGACGGAGCGTGGTAAGCACCTTAACCAGTTCCATCATCTTGAGTATTTAATATGTAAACAGGTTGGAAGATCCTACGGCCATCATTGGAGACGGATGTCCGGGACGCGAAGGAAAAACGTCTAAAGGCGGAACAGCAGCAGTTGCTTGCCAAGCGGCGCAAGATTGTGGTGCAACTATATGAAGACCATAAGCGCACGCTCGTTCCAAACCAATGGAGGACCCTCCCCAAATTGTTTGAGCTCTGTGAGGATGCGATGTTCCAGTCAGTGATTAACTGTCCAGCGGATGTCGAGGTCACTGCCGCCCATTTCAACGACGCGATTCAGGCGCTTCCACAGACAATAATTGCACTCCAGACCGCACGCACGGCCAATTTACAGGCTTTGATCGATTCCAAGCCTCTCTCTATTCAGGTTACAGAACCAGAACCTGGTGAAATCGCCCCTCACCCACGATCACTGAATTCAGCTCTCGCCGTCTTTGTTTGTGAAAAAAGATGTAGTACGTGGAACACCAGCGAGGTGACCTACATTGGCGAGGAAGCCGCGGCAGCACATGAATGCAAACATTCACAATATTACAATGAAGCGCCACCCGCAGAGACGGTCTTCAAACTGAGTCAACGCGGAGTCCTCGCGGCCTCATCTCTGGTCAAATTATCTGGTCTCGACGTGACTAATGCCACCTGCGCTCAGATGGACCGGCTCGATGCGCGTTATATCTGTCTGGGGTGTCCCCGTCGTCGGTCGGCTCAGGGAGAACATCACAATGCATACTCGTGGCGTGCTGCGGTAAAAGGCTGCTCAATTTTTGACAAAACTCTGACACCATCTGCGTAGGTTACTCATTTTGCCCTGAAGGGCTGCAATCCGAATCTTGTCGCGCCTCAAATGCAACTGATGGATTCTGCTCAAACCGACGCTGTGAAGCGAACAGAGGGTGCTGATACGACATTATCATGGACTTGCAACCACTGCGCAGCCCACTTGAAAAATTGCGACACTCGCGCAAATGTTGTCGAGCACTGCAAAACTAGCCATGCCATTGTCGATCCCGTAGTCCCTCGGGATCTTTTCCGACTACTTGACTTGCAACGCCCGGCCGCTAGTTTTCTCATCCCGGTTGAGCAGAGCCAATACCACTGTATGCTCTGTTCTACGCCCTCGCAGAAAACGCGGCTGTTCATCTTCGAAGGTGTCAGATCGCACATAAAGGCCAAGTTCGTCCTGTCACTCTACGAAGTCAATCTACTCATGCGGTCATGTTTCTCAGACATAAAATACCAGAACCTAAGGAGAACGTCCATTGGAGGAAGGCTCGCAGATAGTCAAAAGCTTTAGCATGACGTGTAACGTATTTCTTGAATTCAAGTTGACGAGGCTTGATTACTGCAGGCGTGGGTGGTTTATTAAAGCAACTACGATGCAACGATGGTGAACGCTGCTAGCTCATTTTCCTTCCTTGACTGCGTTTGTCTCCCCAGATGTGATGCTTCTGGAATCTGAAGTGCGGATTCAAGTTTGCATATGACTGCAACTCGAGTATTAGGATTGTGTCAATTGAAGTTATTGAACGCGGAGCGCTCACCCATCCCGGCGCAACGCCGGACCGGCGTCCCGGTTCCTACTACTTGAAACTTGACTCAGCCGGTGACTTTCCCAGATGCAGTTATTCTCAGACACAAGCAGAGCGTCCCGCCTCCGGTAGAAAGCTTTGCCGTAACGTGGACTCGTTGATATTTAAACCGACTCGGACGGTGCGCTCTCACTGCAAACAATGTCCACCCTTGGAGCCAAGTTGGAACAGATTCTGGTAAGCTCACAGTGTGACAATTGTCAAAGATAAACTTTGTGGCCTCTAGAAGGAAGCGGTGAATGGCGGGACGATTCCTGCATCATTCGTCGCTGTCGTAGACAAAGAGGGAACGATAGTCTCACAGCAAGTTGGCAACAGGCTCGTCGATGACGCGACAAGCGGGGTTGTCGACGAAGACACAATTTTCTGGCTTTGTAGCCAGACCAAGCTCGTCACTTCTGTATGACGCCGAAGCTCTTTCGGAAGCTTGTTCGCTGACATATTTCAGATTGCTGCACTCCAGATGGTCGACGCGGGAAAGATAACCCTCGATACCCCTGTCGAGGAAGTGCTTCCTGAACTGAAGAACCCTCTGGTTGTCACTGCACACGATGAGTCTGGACGAATCAAATCGACTGTCCCCGCTAAAGGCAAAATTACATTTGGGCAGCTGCTACGCCATACGAGTGGCCTGGAGTATGCGCTTGACGGAAAACTTGCCCCCAGTGGTCCTTGGTTAGGTCTGCCCCCGGCTTACACTCACAACTACAAGGGTCAAGGCGTCGAGAAATACTTCGACCTAGTGAAGGTCAGAATCAGTCCAGAGTTTCAACACAATTAACATCTATACAGGGAGACCTTCCGGGAGTTCCGTTGCGCTTCGAGCCTGGCACAAATTGTTTGCGACAAGTTCCACTGGTAGTAACATGCTAACGATTAGATAGGGGCTTACGGCTATGGCACCGACTGCGCTGGCTTTATCGTCGAACGTCTCTCCGGAAAATCGCTGGAGCAGTACTTGTAGGAATAACTTGAGTAAGCGGTCTTAGAGCACTCAATGTTTCCAGCCAGGACCACATTTTTGCTCCGCTTGGGATCTTTTCTGCGTCGTTCAAGCTATCGCAAGACAAAAAGGACAAGTTGCTCCACCTGTCGTTACGCGAGACCAATGGAACACTCAAGTCGCTCGACATTCCTCCTTTCCACGATGAAGATTCTGAAGTCTATCTTGGAGGCGTTGGGTTATACTCGTCGCAAAAGGATTATATGCGCTTGCTGCAGCATCTACTTCAAATCAAGCGTGAGTGTCAAAAAAAGGTTTATTGAAGCGAGTCCAACAACATTCCTAGTGGGAACAGCGACTAATCCTATCTTGTCGCGTTCTTCGATAGAGGCGTTGTTCACGCCAACGTTGAACTCTAGTGGTGCAGACGTCGCCCATGCAACATCGGCATTCTACATGCCCAACGTTGGGATCCCAGCCAAAGCGGCGCAATTTTCCCATGGACTACTGCTCAACACCGCCGATATTCCCGGCAAGCGAAAGGCTGGTTCAGGTGCTTGTGAGTCGTGGTTTCCGCTGCTCTGTTTCTTGCTGAATGACGCGGACTTGCAGGGACTGGTGTGTTTGATTCAATTGAATATTTGATTCCGCGGTAACATTTGTACTTGCAGGCTGGGCGAATACCTTCTACTTTGTGGACCCATCGAAAGGGATAGCAATGGTGTTTGGGACGCAGCTGACACCTCCGGCAGACGACTTGGTGACAAAGGTGTTTTCGCAGTTGGAAAAGGAAGTTTATGTGGCGTAGAGGGCGAATATCATGTGGTGCTACTAGGCTCGCACAGAGCTCGTTGGAAACGTATGGTTGATATTGGGTTGATACATGCTTGAAAAACGAGGAGGCAACTAGCATTGAAAGATGCGCACTAGTTCTTATTGGCCCTGGATTGCGGAGGCTTTCGTCGTTGGCACGAGGCGCTGGCAGATTTTGACAAGGGAATTCGAAGTCGAGGAAGTGGGACCAAAAGAGCAAACGCCGCATAGTGTCCACTGGACAAAAAGATACTTCTGAGAAGAGTTGGCCGGAGGAGGACATGTCTAGACAAAGTCCTTGTCAATGTGACTTGCTTGAAGAACATTCGAGACTAGCGTATAAGGATCAAATCAAGACAATTGAGGAATCGGAAGCGTGTTCCGAAAGGCGGCGACTTGCAGCGAACCAGGAAGCGAGAGCCAAACGGGTGGAGCGATAACAGGTGTAACAGGCCCCAAAACCCCACCGCCGAGAAGGGAAAAGGCTGTACGAGACAGTGGCACATGGTCTATGTCGGACGATATAGCCGCAAGACAAATTTCCTGGGTGATCTGAGACAAATGATACTGCTGAGCAAACTAAGCGGTTGAAGTGCTTGCTGGCAACTACATTGTATTTTGGGGGGGGGGCAGGGCATGGCCTTTTGGTTGTTGGTTGCCATTACCGCCGACGTCGAGGAAGCAGTGAATGATGGCGTGATGCATAATGTGTCACAGGTGTGACTGATCGTCACACCGGGTGGTGCCAAAGGAAGCCAAATACAATTCTCCTCTCTCTTCCCATTCACCACCACCCACCACCACCACCGAGCTCTCCACCATTCGAGCGGTCTCCGCCATGATGCTCGTTCAGAAGCAACCACACTTTTCAACGCTGGGCACTTCACCCTACCTTTACTCTCATCGCAGGCACCCGTCAGCACCACCCGTCTCTGCGGTTGTCGTTCAGCCGACACGAACTCCTGGCCTTCTGTCCCTATCTAAACCAACGAAGAAGGAACACAAGACAGACCATAAGGCTTCACCCAAGCCTCGACAAGCTGTTATTGCTGTCCGGTCTCCAAAACCAGTACATGCTGAACCAGTTCCTCCACTCAAGCCTGCGCCAGAAATTCGCGGCCGTCAACAAGCAAAGCGACACCCTCACCAGCGCAGCTCTTCACATGCCGCACCCTCTCGTCGTCACCAGCCGTCCCCCGATCCGTTCAAAGCGGCCACTCCACCTGTCGTTGCACCGCCACCTAATAAGCGCCGACAGCCCATTCCTGTCCCGCAAAGGAAAGAGACAACCCCTCCGCCTGCCGAGGTCTCCCGTTCAGACCCAATCCTGTCTCACATGCCCCGCCGTAAGCCCCAGCGTTCAGCTACCCACGATGTCTTCCCCATCTGCGATGACATGACGGAGGCTGGATCTCGACCCACTACCCCAACTCCCCGAACTCCCCGAATCCGTCCTGAGCTCCGTCTCAATGAACCTCGCACTCCTCCTCGTCGCTCTCGCTTGCCAGAGCCGCCACTCACAGCTCCCATTTCTTCTGGTGCAACCCTTTCGTCTTTTCCCTTTCCCACCACTAGTCCTCCAAACTCGAGTCCAAAGCATCGTCCTGCAATGGCTGCCCGTCGCACCAAGCACCTTAGTGAAGGCGTTTTGATCCCTATCTCCTTCCTTCAGGATTCTCCGCTTCCCGCTGCTCGTCGTAGTCAATCAACTGAGCGTCAAGACCCAGATGACGACGGTTACTTTGCTAGTTCTCAGTTCCAGAATTCGCCCAGTCCAGACGAGCTTCCTCCCCCGTTGTTTGCCTGAGTTCGTGGAGCAGTTTTGGCTCTTATCTTTATTCTTATTTATTCCAGGCGCTCTATCTTATTCCTATTTCGGTCTACCGACACCGGCATTTTGGCACCCTCGTTCCGGACACCCGAGCTCGCTCCTTATCCTTTCCGTCTCCCAGCATTGCCTGGTTACATTGCGTTCTGTGTAACTGTTTTTTGGGTTTCACGTCTCAGCCTCTTTCTCCTCTTTGTAGCGGTTTAGTGTATACGTAGAGAGGTGACCACCTTTTCCTTTTTGCTTTCTAGTTAACTGACAGCTTTTGACAGTCTGAAACCAAAACAAGCAGCAAGAAATGAAACAGAAGGCTGCTTAATTTATCCCCCGATCCTAGTACCGCCCACACCACCACCACCCATCTTGGTTCCGCCCCCCTTCTTGATGGTGTCCTCCACCGCATCATCCTACAACAACATCCGCGATCATCACAAAACCGCCCTTTAGGGCGGTCTTTCCCTGCCGAATCAACTCGTAGGCTGGGTCCTATTTACCGGCTTGTCCGACATCGACGTTTGCACCCACCTCAAAATCCTGATGATGACCGCAACGACGACACATCTGTATCATATTGCATCGCATCGCATTGTTGTTCCTGTGACATTTCTTGACTTTTTTTCTCCTTTGGCGACATGTCGACCAGCCACCGAGTCGACTACGACCTCACGTCGCCACCTTGTTCCCCACTCCATTCGCCGCCCTATTTTATCTGCCGCCTATTACTTCTTTTTCTCCTTTCTTTTCCATCTCCACTGTGTCTATTGGTACGTTTTCGCTCGTCTCAATTTGAGCTAAATGCTGATGCTTTTTGCTGTAGCCCCCCCTATCACTGTACCATCAAGGCATACCCTATCTTAGATCGGGACTGGTGCAACGACCTGAACTCACATCCCATGAATTGGATGGAAACCGTCTCCGCACCCGTCACCACATTATCCATCAACCCCCACACTCCTTGAAGAGAAACCAGACGATGTATTTGTATCGTATCGTTAGTTGGAGCAGAGTCGTAGCAGTAGTAGTAGCAATAGCAGTCGCGATAGCAGTAGTGTAGGTAAGTTAGCTAGCATACGTACAGTGGGATACTAGAATTGACCTTGTTCCCTTATGATTGTTGTGAGCTGGTCATTCAAAGCAAGGTGGTCTGTAGTACCCGACTGGGAGCCCAAAGTAGCCGCTCCAATCGGGTCGCTTCCGGTTTTTTACGACAGTGAGTTAATGACCGATCACATGATTTTTGTTGCTTGTTGCTTGCTCCCAATGCAAAGCAGATATCCAACATCTGCTGTCAGGCTAATTTCTTATGGGAGCTATGGCGTGTCTCAAGAAGTAACACCGTCTTCAGAAACCGCGTGCGTACATGAACTACTACTAATGAAGCTGATCAGGAAAAAAGTCTCGAACAGAGCAGTGGTCTTGCCGCATTCCTTGTCTCTATTAACAGGCCCTGCGTCGCACTACCCCGCAAGAAGACCGCATTTTCAGGCCGTTTATCAAGTGAATTCCTGCGAACTTGAAAGGCCTCGTCACAATCTGCAGCCGCATTCCTGGCGTTGTCGCTGGTTTCAGTTGGACTACGATTTCGGCATCCTTCACGCAGACCAATGGATTCTGGTAGAGGACGAAGAGTTCTTTATTGCCGAGTGCTCTGGGGGGACGCTTCAAGTGGTCGCCTGCTTGTGCCCTCGAGGACTGTGTGATGGACAGGGGAACAGACCCACCCGCGGCTGTACTGGCGAAATGGGAAGCACTAGATGCGCTGGCCGGCTTGCTCGGGAACATGTTTACGCATTCGATTGGTATGGCGCTCTCCCCAGGCACGCGCGTCGGCTTTGTAGTCGTCCCAGAAGGCACAATCAACGGAGGGTATGTTGTTGACTTTTCCGTTGGCCAAACAGTGCTCGTGAGGGTATTGGTGGCAGGGCGACATATCGATCCAAGAGCTGATGACTTGGTGGAGCAGCTCTCTTCGTCAGCCCAGCCGGGCGATGTCATAGTCGTTCCTTTGGCGCATATAAGACGACATCTTTTTGCGTGCGATCTCCGGCCACAGACTGGAGAACGTATAGAGCTGGAGGGAGGGAGGAGTGGCTTTGTAGAGGCGGTGGATGAAGCGTGTCAGCCTGAGGGACACCCGCAAGTCCATTTCCGCGATAGAATTGCCCAGGCGACAGGCGTTGCTCCAGTCTCTTCTGTCCGCAGACAATTCATCCAAGGTGACCTAATCCGTGTTATCCGAGGTGCCCATCGCTCGGTGTGCGGTGTCGTGACGCGGAGGATATTCTTCAACGGCAATTTTCGATCTGTGGTGGGCTTGGAGTTGAACGTGGTAAGACGACAAATATGCTCGCCGGCATGCTGACAAAAGGTAGAGAAGGGACTCCGGCAATGGGATCTTGAAACCGGTATCCATTTCCTGTGGCACGGATGTTCTGATGACCAGACCTACTAGTTTCGGTCCTGTCTGCTGACGCAGCCATTATAGGTGGCGCCGCCCCAACAAGCGTGTGCACGCTATTGCCTTGTCACGGAAGGCCGAGCCGAAGATGGCGCTGGCTATGTCAACCCAATTTACTGCATCGTCGACTCGATGTCAAGTTCAACAACGCTGACCGTGACTCCGACGATCCGGTCAGCGGGGAGCACGCAATACGCGCGGGATGGTCCGGCTTCATCGAGATGGACGAGGTTCTTGACATCAAAGACCCATACAAAGAGCTTCTGGTGCACTTGGACTCCGGCGGAAAACAAGGTGTGGCAGCAAAAAGGCTCTTCCCGATGGACGCTTGGCTGGACCCGAAATCAAGACGGGTATGCTTGATCGGGCAAATTGGGGACAGGATCGTGGTGATTGGGCCAGACATTCGAGGGATGTGGGACAAGTTGGGTTGCTACGGTCTGGTCTTGCCAGAACGAAGCACATTCACGATTGTTGTGGTTAAACTGCAGCGGCAAAGTGTGACTTCAAGCATGGTCCAGGATTCTTTCCCTCCGAAAAGTTTATGTCGATCGTCAAACATTGACGGGGTTCGGACTCGCGCGACGCGGTCACGGTTTTATTGATATGCAGGTAGTTTAGCGTAACAGGAATGATAATAAACGTCCACTCTACACTAGGTGTCGGCCACAGCCGTCACGGACCTTGCTTTGAAATGTCGCTTTAGTTCCCGCCGAGTTCTTTTCAACCTTTGTATTCTTCTACATAATAAGTAAAATAACAGGCCCATGGACTACGCTTTTTTGTGGCAAACCAAAGTGTGCGCCAAAGGGTGTCGAGTTTCCAGAGCCTGCTCGATAGCATCCTCGCTATACAGCAAGTCTACAGTGAGAAGCGATAATGTTGAGCTAGCGAATCTCTGCATCGGCATCTCATCGACAAAGCCTAGTTTATATGATCCCAAGGGGTAAGATCCAAACTCGGAGGTGAAGAAGCTCATGGCCGAGCGTAGAGTAGATGTTGACGTTGTCATGGGCAATTCGTGGCCAGGAAGGCAGAAGGCATACATCGGACGTTACGCGAGTTGCCTTCCTCGACGGAATCGTCCGAGGGAATCGAGAGCAGACGGAGACAGACAGTTATATACCCTAATAGCATTTTTTTGGGGGACAAATGATATGAGAAAAGGCAGAATATCCATCGACTAGTGGGTGGATAACCATATTGGCAATTGCAAAAGTCTCACACACACATCTGAAGGCGTAAACCTATGTGCATAGGAGGAAAAGAGGACATGAAAATCACGGTTACGAGCGGATCATCGATCAAGACCGACATCAGAGGCTGTGCGTAGTTTCGCCGAGCTTTCTACGGAGGTTTGGGCTTTTTGGCCTTCGGGTTAGTTTGTTGCTGTTTGCAATCAGCTTGATCAAACTATCATCATGATTGGCAAGTATAGACGGGCCAGGGACCTTGCAAAGCAAGGTGACTCGACTCGACATTGAAGTCCAACCTACCCGCACACCACGCCCAACACGGCTCCAGATACAAGCGAAAGAGCGAAGAACTCGAGTGGCTCACTTGGCAACAAGATGAAGTATGTGACACAGTGAGTGACGCTCTCCTGTGTCCTGAGACCAAACCCAGTGCTGTACAAACGGCCGTCCAAATCGGGCGAATGGCCCCAAAACGGGCCCCTTTTTTGATTTTGCCTGAAGGGACATTTGATTTGTGACTGAAGGTGCCTATATTCGTACCTGAAGGCACTTAAATTTGCACCTGAGGTCTCAATATTCATGCCTATCGGCATCATTCGTTCTTGCCTGAAGGCATCTTGCAATTTATACCTGAAGGGACTTATAATTGTGCCTGAAGGATAAAAAAACTTGACTATAGGCATTTTCATCGTATAAGTACCTCTGGGGACTTGATGGTGATGTGTTCCAAAAAAGGCAATTTAAATAACATGTCATTTCAACTCATTTAAGCCACTCTCTGCTCATAACACAATGTATCTCATGAAGGGATAATTCATTAAGTTGTATCAGACTGGTTAAAAATGTCCTCAATTAATTACAGCTTGGATTTCTTAGATCATCATATACATCAGTGATGCCAAAGTACAAACCATTTAGACCTATCCTATAGCATCTTGCTCTTGTTGGTTTTCATGCTGTTTCTCTGTTATTTGGTGACTTGCCTATTGTGCTTTGCTTCAGGATTTTGAATGGTAGCCTTTTTTTTATATTACAAGTAACTTGAATTCATCTCAGTTTCTTCAAGTAATGATAGGCCTGAGGGCATTTTTATTTGCTACTGAAGGGAAAGAACAAAACTCACTACAGGAACAAGAATGAGCTGTCCTGCAGTGACCAGAACTTACACTGAAGGGGCAAAACATAATGTACTGTAGGTTCAATGCACTTGCACCTGAGGCCCGAGGGAACAGAAATTGTGCCTCCAGGCATGAAATTGAATGCCTGAGGGAGCATAAAATATTGCCCTCGGGCACGATCTTTCGTCCCTGAGGGCGCATTGGATTTTGCCCGAAGGCAACTTTTTTGTCACTGGGCCGTTTTGGGGCCGGCCCATCAATGGGCCGTGACTCGTACAGCACCAGTGCCTATCTGTGTGACCTCACCACTTCAAGTTTCGTTTGCGAACCACCTGCAATGTTCAAACATGTCATGTCAGCAGAGAATCCGCACCACTATGAGCCACAAGGCTTTCATCCCGTCCATCTTGGCGACACCTTCAACAACGGACGGTACACCGTTCTGCACAAACTTGGCCACGGTGCATCCTCGACCATCTGGCTGGTCCACGACAAACAAACCGATGGCTACGCGGCCCTCAAAGTCATAGCTGCATGGAAATCAAGTGCCGAGGCGGCCGTATTCGCGCATCTAGACTCTCATTTCGATGCGAACGAGGAGGGCAGCAATCATGTCGCCCGCATGCTTGACCATTTTTTCCATGACGGCCCCAATGGGCGACACCAATGCATTGTCGGCGAAGTTTACGGCCCGGGCCTCAACTTGGATGCCTTCTGGTTCTGGGACTCGGAAAGCTTTCCCGCGAATATGGTTCGCCGACTGTTTGGACAAGTTGCGTTAGGAGTCAGATACCTGCATCGACGAGGCGTTGCCCACGGCGATCTCCACCCAGGGAATGTCCTCCTTTGCCTGCCGATGACTTGGTCCTCTTGGGAAGACATCGAGAAGGATATAGGGGCTCCGAGAAGAAAAGAATATGGCGCATCTCCCTCTCCTCATCTGCCGAATTATCTGGTTCCGAGCCCCCTCGATGGAGTAGACTTCCTCAGACGCTGCCTGATCAGCCCCAATGTCAAGATCTGCGACTTCAGCGAGTCGACTATCGTTGGCATGACCACGCCACCTCCCCTCGCCTCGCCGTACGCTCTGCGTGCGCCGGAATGCTTGCTCGGCTTCTCAAATCACGCGACGCTGGAAAGCGACATCTGGGCGCTTGCCGCGCTATGCGGTATGCTGTTCAGCGGCGGCGGAGGGTTGTTCATGGACTACTCCGTATCTCTGTTGAGCACCTCGAAGCCGACCAAGGACGCCATATTGCAGGATATGGTCCGGAAACTGGGTGAATTTCCGGAGCCGATGCGATCGAGCTGGGCCAGCCGAGGATATGTCGACAACCATGCACACCGGGCGCGGCCGACCTTGCTGTGGAAGGGGATAGTTCGCGCGGGCGAAGAATACGAAGCCTTGGAGACGTTACTCAGGTCCATGCTGCGTTACGAGCCGACCCAACGGGCCACTGCCCAGGACGTTGTCGACAGCAGGTGGATGGAGCAGTTTTGTCGTCGGGAGATGGCGCCAAATAACACTTTCGTGGTTGAGCTTCTTGACGAGTTCAAGCCGAGCGCTGATTCGCCATGATCTGGTGATGCATAACTTTCCATGCCAACCAGCTACTAACCGTGGTGTAGTTAGTACTCGTGGCGGGACGAGGCTCCAGGCCGGGGATAAGTATGGACGAAACCGAATCTGCCCCCACCAGCAGAAGCGACGGTCCTGTTGAGGTGTCTATTGGCACACAGCAAAACGGAGAGGTCGTTTTCACCACTGATTCGGATGGTGAATAAGCAACATTAAACGCAAGTTTGTAGTTACCTGCACTGCGAAACAGATCATGGACGTCCTACTAGTACGACTAGTATGCTTACTTCAAGATTGCTTCAAGAACAGATTCTTTCCTTATGTTGGTCATGAAACAATAATAATCCCAATAAACTCTACGCCTCGACATAGAACTCCAACCCACCCGCGCACCACGCCCAACACACCCGAGGACGGCTCCAAATGCATTGCTGCACCGGACCCATACCATCTCGAATACGTCATCGCGAAAAACGCATACGCCTACAAGGAGCTTGTTCAGAATGCAAGACGCAAACCCAACCCATAGAGAATCCAACAGCCACGGCCTGTTATTGACAAACCGGACTGATCATTCTCCAGTGCTTGGTTGCTCATTGCTCTCCCACGGGGATGCACGGCTGCCACATTGGCGTTGAGGGGATGCGGATGGGGAAGTCTAGCCAGCTGGAGCCTCAGTCGAGGAGTCCAGCAATGAAGAAGAAGAAACATGTAGTCATAAACATAACAGAACCTATAAAGAACATAAACATCGACCCGTTCGAAGTCAAGATGCCACTCACCATCCAGCACTATATACGGGCTGACCAAGCGGAAATGGCACACTGATATAGTGGATAGCGTTGCACAAGAACGCTGAGAGAAGCGAAAACCCGAGTGGCTCACTTGGCCATCGAGTTCGGGAACAAGATAAAGTATGTGACAGAGTCACATCCATCGCTTATGTAATCGAACGCTATGGCTCGGGGCTCCAACTTTCAATGTTCAAGACTCTATGCTTCGAGAGAAAAACTGCGCGAGGTCGGTGATTACCGGTGGGTCAACTAAGGCTAACGGGACGGTTCGCATCAAGGGCCGAGTCATACATTCTGCAGGGGACAAATAAGATTACTGGTTTTGCCTGCAAAAGTGGTTTCCACTTCAATCCAGGGAAGAAGCTAACCTTTCCTCGACACCATTCCCTGTTTGAAGTCTGAAAAGTATTATGTAACCGCCACACAAACAGAACAGCAGAATACGCACACTGCCGGGTTACTTTCTCGTTAACTTGGGCGGTCCTTTTACGCAGAGAGTATCTTGGAGTTGGAGGGGAGGAAGGTGGATTTTCCCTCTGTGGCGTCACGGTACTGGTAGAGGGCGAAGTTGCGTGCGAGAAGCGGTCACACCTGGTTATACCGGGGGTAGAGAGCAAGAGCCCGTACTCGCGTGTTGGATTCGCATTACTTGGTAGCACAGTCGCAAGAATATTTTCCTTCTCATTCCGATTTGGCGTTGTTGGAGTCGCAACAGCTTTGTCTCCGCGAGATATGTCAACCGGTGTTGTGAGTGCCGCTGGCTCAATGGGATCGAGGACGGAAGACGGTGGTGCTGGTGGCGATAGCGACGGCGTTGATGTTGCATTTGCGGATGGTTCAGGGATGGATTTGTGGCATTGAGGTTTGGGAACAAGAGGCTGCAGTAGCGAGGAAAAGGAGATTTTGTCGCGAGGGCAAGGAAAGTCTGACATGTTGCTGAGTTGCTCAAGTTCGTTGGTATCTGGGTCCGAAATAGTCCACAGATTGAAGAAATCATCGTCTCTGACAGATCTGGACGTTTTGAGGGTGTTCTGAACGCTGGTCGTCAATGCAGTGTCAACACAGATCCACAGTATGCTCCAGCTGCAACTTCGTCAGATGGATGGTGGGACAAAGAGTAAGTCACAGACGTCGTCAATGCCAACGTCGCCAACGCAAAAAATGCCGGGAAGAGAAGGGCGTTGATAGCGCGAGGACCTCCGATAGAAGATGAAGCAGAGACTACTTGGCCGACATACAAGCACAGAATGGCGAGCAATTCGTCATCGCTTAGGTCTGTGTCGGCTGGTAGGTCGGCGGCAACAAAAGTAATTGTTGCAAGTGCAGGGAGAGAGAAAAGGACATTTTCCAATGCCTTACACTTGTGACTTCGGTGAGCCTCGAAAATGGCATGCTGATAAACACGCACCATTGAAGTGACTGAACCACCAGATTCAGGCTGCTGCTGCTGGCCCCTACAAAATTGTCGAACGGCTGCCAAAAGCGATTTGTAGCCCAGTTGCATCGTGTCCGCCGGGTCTGAATCAGAAAGGGAGACCTCGCCACAAACAGGAAAGCATTGAGGCGAAAACTTGAAGGAGGCGCGAATGTCGCGGTCGTGTCGTGCGTTTTGAAGCAATTTCAATGTCGTCTTGACTAGACCAGAGCCAGGAGCACGAAGAAGGACTGAAGAGAATGACGCAGTAGATGGAACGCCAGAGTCATAAATAGAGCGAAGGGGGTTGCGATGGTTCATGATGGTTAAGATCAAGAACTATGTGGAGTACCGAAAGCTACAACAGTCGACCAGCTGCAGTCGGCTGGCATAAGCAAGTCTAACACAACAGATGCTCACTCCGATAGCTCTCTCTATACAGATGCTGAATTAGTTGTCCATGCGCTATTAGTACACTCTAATTTTACACTTGTCCTTCCCCTTTTACTCTACACCTTTCCCTTTTCACGCAGCCCCGGGTCAGATATCGTCGCGTCAGAGGCATCCTCGACATGTTCCGTGTTCCCTTTGGCCGCCTCCGTTTCGCTGTCAAGCAACATCTCCTTCCGATACCTCGTAGAGCCCAGCACTAGAAGAAAGAAACGTCAGCACTATCTGAGTTGGCCTAAATCATGACACTACCACTCGAATTCCTGTACAACAGGTCGATCTGCTCGAGCGACAGACCCTACAGCGCACATCAGCCTCCAGTTTTTCGAGTAAGCAAGCAAGCCTGACCTTCGTCTCGGGAATAAAGAAGTAGGCGAACAGGAGGCACCCGACACACGTCGATCCCCAAATAAAAAAGACCTTGACGCCCAACGAGGCAGTAGCGACACCATTGGGCTGGCCCTTGGTGGACTGGTCAACAAGATATGGTGTCGCATACCCAATCCCAAAATTCCAAAGCCAGTTGCTAGCGATAGCAAGGGACATGCTCTTCGCCCGGAGTTTCAAAGACTGTCATCCAATCAGATCCACGCACCCCCAAAGGGCGACAACTCCTTACGAATATTTCCCCAGAAACAACCCACGCAACCGGACCCCAACTACACGCGAAGAATGCGACTGCGGTCTGGTTAAACGAGGACGCAAACCGGCGGAAGGACTGACTGTAGAAACACGCAAATGCGATGAGAACACGCTGGGCAGCCAAATTGATGCCCCCTGCCCCAGCTTGACCGACAGTAGTTCCGACAATAGCGATGATATATTCGCAGACGAGCATTCCCGCCGCCCCGATTAGAAGAAGCCGGCGACGGCCCACCCTGTCGATAAGTTGAATGCCGACGATAGTCATAGCAGTGTTGACAACGTCAATGATAATCCTGGAAGAAAATGAGACGCGATTAGACTCAACAATGGAGACATACGTGATGATGAACGAGTTCTTGATCCCAGAATTGCTGAAGAAACTGGTGCCGTAGTACATGATAAAGTTGATACCTTCCAGAGTATGAGCAAAGTGATCGGGGGAGATAAAACCTTGTGGTTTACCCGTCAATTGTTGCCACTAAATTGTCCGTTAAAACTTGGTGCGACACGATGAGGATAACTCACAGCTTGAAGCCAGATACCAGTCCAAGTGCGCAACCCGTTCTTCGACTCAGTGTTGCGGAAGCAGTCTGCCTCTGATCAACATGAAAGTCACAAAGGAGTAGCAGGACCAACCAAACCAACTAGCATTCGCGTTCTCTTGCTCGGCGGCAAGAGCCTGTTGAATTTCCTGGGTTTGCGCGTCAACTTCGGGCGAGTTGGGAGGGGTTTTCGTGAAGCGTGATAGTGCCTTTCTTGCGGCGTTGACGCGTCCTTTGTACAGTAGATATCGAGGCGATTCGGGGAGGAGGAGCATTCCACCACCGAGAACAAAGGCCCAGACGAATTGTACAGCGATGGGAATCTACGAAACGAAAATTAGCTGGAGCGATGTAGACATCAGGGTTACATACGCGCCAGGCGCTGTGGTCGCCGAAATCCTTGGTCGCATTGAGAACGATAGCCGAAATGAGGGCACCCAGTGTTATCGCTAGTTGGTACAACCCAACAATCAAACCGCGGAGACTTTTGGGAGCGCACTCGCTCTGGTACATGGGGACCAGGCAGGATACGAGTCCAACACCAAGCCCAGCAATGACTGAAAAAAAATCAAGTCACCAAAGCGAGGGGAAATATCTTGCTCACATCGACCAACGACAAACGTCGCCCACTGCGTGTCCAACTGCAGCCCGATCCCAAGACTGAAGACACAGCAGCTTGCCACAATGCCCCATTTTCTCCCAACGATGTCGCCCATAGGATATGCGAACAACGCCCCAACGAAAGTGCCTGCCGATAGAATGGACACCACCAAACTCTTGTTGGCCGTCTTGAGGAATCTGCCTTGGGTATCCGTGCCGAGCACCCCGCTCGGGTCGTATGTTCCGAAAGTCTCTATCCAGTCTTTCATGACGATGATGCCGCCAATGGTCCCCGTATCATAACTAGTCCTTGTTAGAACAGAGCTTGGAGGAAGGACATCATGTACCCGAAGAGAATACCACCGAATGCTAAACATAGTAGAGTTGAACGTCAAGAAGCAACAAGGAAAAGATGACCGAACCGGCAAATGCACTCATCACAATCGCCCATAGTAGACTGGCAGTCGCCAAACCTTCTGAAGTTCCTCCAGGACCGCCTGCCATATTATTCGTCAAAGGGGGTAGTTGAAGAGGATGAACCCCAGATTGATGAGGAGCGTTTTATAGAGCGGTCAAAATCGATCGCCGGTCGGTACGAGGCGGTCATAAAACGCAAAGCGGGAAGAGAATGGGGCTGCCGTTAGCTTGATGGGCCTTGTGGGATTGGAGTTGAGTTGGAGCAAGTTCCAACCGCGGTGACGCGTTTTTTCCTGTGGTTCCCAAGGTCGACATACCGCCTCAAATCGCGTTGGAGGTGCTTTCTTCGGGTCCAAGGTGGGTCTGAGACTACCCGGTTCTGTGTCGGGACAGTGTTAAACCCTCCCGAGTGTCTATGGATGGGTGAGAGTTCAGCCATGTTTGCATTCGCTAGACTGACGGCAACGAGGGTCTATGACGCAGTTGAGTAAGAAAGAGATGATTCCGGGAAGAGAATCATCGCATTCGAAAATGAGCAGCCTATGACGTCTCTTCTTATGGTTCATTCTTCAGGTCGCATGTGGAGGATGTCAAGCGATGGAGCTTGTTGACTGCATATGTACGACATTGTCCAGTCGGGTTTGGGGGAGGAATCGAGGATTCAGGATGTGACTGATCATGTGATATGATGTCACTGTGACGACTTGGAAAAGTTGGAAGAGCTTGGAAGATTTGATCTCACAACGAATAATGATTCAAGGTAGGGCCGACGAGCAGTGTAGCACAAACTGATTGAAAGTAAATAGAAAGTGGATGCCTTTCCATAACGCAGATTCTGTTTTACTTACTTGATAGCAGTACCACGGACAGACCGAGTAGTTAAAAGTAATCAATTTATGAGTTTGTGCGCTTCCCATAACACACTTTTTCTCAGTCAGATATATTTTCAAGTTGGCAGGTCGCGTCAACAACACGCTCTTACCCTCACACCGTGACCATAACCATGGATCCCACCGACGACGAATATATGTTGCAGCGCCTGCTGAGCGAGATGGAGTATGATGCCTGTGTTGACGAAGAGCGCCACCAGGCAGGATCTGCCATTGCAATCCTTGTTCTTGGCTCCTTGGAGGGGCGAAGGCTTCGCAGCATACGCAGACAGCCACATCGTTTCTACCTTTGCTGACCACAACTCTTCCGATCCCCACGTGGCGCGACTCCTTGGCAAATCCTCTCTAATTCACGCCATGACCGTGCATTCATTACAACAATGGGATTCGACACCAAAACATTTGACGCGATCCTAGAAGCTGGTTTTGCAAATATATGGGATAGCACTCCCATTCCACGCGATGATGCGCGTCGTACAGGTCAAACCCGACCGGGTGCGCGCTCTCTTGATGCATCGGGCGCACTAGGGCTACTCCTGCACTATCTAAACTCAACTATGCGTGAAGTTAGCTTACAACAGATCTTTGCACTCATTCCCAGCACAGTCTCACGCTATATCACGTTTGCGCTTCCAATACTGCTGCAAGTCCTCCGTAAAATGCCAGCAGCTGCCATCCGGTGGCCGCAGGGAGGGGAATTCCTTGAATACAGCAACTTGATCACCCGTCGACATAGCCGCTTGGTTGGGGCATTCGGGTCTATTGATGGGCTCAATCTGCCTTGCCAGACGTCAATCGACAAGGAGGTCGAGAACGCAACATATAACGGCTGGCTGAGCGAACACTTCATAAGTTCAGTCTTTGTCTTCTCGCCAAAAGGTCTGTGGGCTCACTCTGAACCTGAGTATTCATTCACAATATCTACAGGTACAATTATCAGCGCAAGAATGAATGCACCCGGTAGTTGGCATGATTCTCGAGTTGCAAAGCCAATCTACAAGCAGCTGGCAGAGGAAACTCCCGACGGCTTCTTCCTCGTAGCGGACACTGCCTTTCCCCATGGCGCGGTAAGCATCGAAAATCACATTCAAGCACCTATCAAGACGGTGTTGGATACCACTCAACCAGACTGGTTGAGTGGTATCCAACAAAATGCCAACCCCGGGTAGAACATGCCCGGGTATATTAAACATTCCCAATTCCCTACTCTGTAGGCGATATCGGTGGCCAGCTGTGGTGTACTCCGTAAATTTCCTAACAATGTCCCGGGAGTTCAAGAGTCTAAAGGTTCCTACCACACACAAATTGTACACCAATAGTGACAACCCGGGATTGAACGTTTGACCTCTTGATATCCACCAACGAGGTTGGCATTTTGTTGGATACCACTCAACCAGACTGGTTGAGTGGTATCAGGTTCCTACCACACACAAATTGTACACCAATAGTGACAACCCGGGATTGAACGTTTGACCTCTTGATATCCACCAACGAGGTTGGCATTTGACGTTGAGTGGTATCCAACAGACGGGGGAGAAGCTTTGTGGCACACTCAGCGAGATTAACAAACAAGTTTCATTTAATCGAGAGCTCTTATCTTATCGACAAACTGCCGAGTGGGGCATGCGCGGGCTGCAGGGATCGTTTGGTCGCCTACGGATGCCGCTGGATATCAATCATGTTTCGCAGAGAGGCAATCTGTTGGAAGTTTGTGCCAGGTTGAACAATGTTCGTGCTGAGCTGGTTGGGATCAACCAGATTCGCTCGGTGTACATGCCAATTTGGAATGAAACTCGAGAAGAGGAGGAAGTATGGTCAGGATTTGAAGATATGCTTTTTTGGGGACCAGCGTCGCCGTGACCGTGTTGCCCGCTTTCATAATATTGCTGTTTTGGATTGAATGCAAACATATGTTGTCCATTTGAGTCTGAAGAACTATTACTTGAATATAACATAGAGAGAAAAGGAGAGGACGGTATGTAGGGTATACGAGGAAATAATCATGTCCCAGGACAGCATGAAACAACTACCTTTGCAACCAAGCACCCTCACAAGACCAACCATTGTGGCCGCACCATCACCCGAAATCCCTTTATTACCGGTCGGTGCTTTACTTCTGAGTTTCCTACACATCGTCGGTTGCTGAAAGGCCATCGGAGCCTGGCAGAGAAGATGAAGCGGCAACAGAAGAGTCAGGAAGGTCATTGGTGTCGATGTTCTCCTTATCCGAGTCACTCGATGAAACTGTCAACTGAATCAGCAAGATTGCCACTACGAAGGAGGAGAAACACACAGATAGGACCAAGAATGTGGTTGTGCATACCCGTCTTGACTTGGGCAAGCTGCCAACGGAACTTATCTGCTTCGCGAGCACGTTCCAAGGCGTGATATTTCTCCTGCATCTGCATAAGCTGAGTGCGGAGGCTTTCGATAGTGTTCTGGGCATCGCGAAGCTGCTGGTTGGTCAAGAGGAGCTGTGTGGTGCTCACAGCAGCGGCAGTGCGCCGATCATCACGAGCGAGCATGGCAGCAGGATCGAATGAGGCGCCAAGGGTATTGACAAGCTCCTTAGCATGGATGCGGGACTTGGTGCGGGGAGGAGGAGAAGCGCGACGTGCTACAGCTGTATGCACCTTTGACTCGATGACCTCGATGTCACTGTCGTTGGCGTCGGGGTCGTCCTTAATCTCTGCAAACTCCGGGTCATTGAGGTCTCGGGTGCCGGCCTTCTCATCAATCTTCTTCTCGACCATCATAGCCTTCTCAAGAATTCGAGGTCGCTTTGCACTGCCCGTAACCTTTTGCGGAGGCTTAGAGATCTATGAGAAGCGATATCAGCACACTTTATTTGAAGGAAATGAGGATAAGACGTACCGCCTTCCATTTGAGACCCAGAGATTTAACTGTTCGCTCAGGTCGGCCGTCCTTGCAAGCCTGTGCGTGTCAGGGGAAACCCTGATGCCGTCACTTGATCCCATCAAGCGCCCGCGTCTCCGCTCGCATCTCCGCGTCTCCGCACCCTGACGCTCTCCCTCCACTGCCTGCACCACATCCCACATCCAGTGATCCCGAGTCTTCGACTTCCCTGGCCACTCCCCTCCGGAAGTCCCTCCGGAATCACCATCATGGATCACCAACGCCATCGGAGACCTCTCCGGATGTGGATGCACCACTTCCCTCCGAGACCTTGAGCCTATGGCCTTCTAGCCTCTCTGGGCTATTACTTATCAAGGTCTCCCTACCATCTCTATCCGCTGGACCTCTTGGGTGTCCCCAACCTATGTCAGCATTCGGGCTTACGTTCGGATGGCTGAGCTTTGCCATGGCTCCGCTCTCTACTCCGCCACCACGGCCCCCGTCATCGGGTCTTCCCCTGGGTGAGGCCTACTGCCGTTAAGGCTCGTGCCCACTGCAGCGCCCCAGGCTGCACGCCCTCACACCTTCACCTCTCTGGAGACGTCCGGGGACGTCTCCGAGTGATCCCCTGTCGCTACCCCCCAGTGGTCATGGCTGGCCGCCATTCCCATTGGTCCTCTTCGACACTCCCCGGCCCTTGGGCTAGACCAGACTCCTTCCCTTTCCGCTCCACGCCTTCCCTCTCCGTTTCCGGCCGTCACGTCACGGTCACACACCCGGAGTCGATTCCGATTCCGATTCCGGTTGTCACGTCACGGTCACAAGCGGAGACGCCCAGAGGCAGCCTGGACCTCCCGAAGCCCTTCTTGGGCCTTCTAGGGATGCCTGGGCCCCTCCCTTGGCATCACGGTCCCAAACCTGCCTCTCCGGAGCTTCGAGGGCTACTCGACACTCACCTAGGGTCCATTAGCGACACCTGACTTCTCCAACCCGTCATCCGTTGCTACGCAGTCACTCTATCATTACTCCGGTCACTAGTATATAGTAGTGCACCTGGGCAGAGGGCTCCTTGGCTTGTTCTCTAAGGATTCCCCCTCTGCTCAGGTGAGTCTGTAGTGTCCCTTCCTGTTGTAGTAGTTCACTAAGGATTCCCCCTCTGCTCAGGACTCTGATTTCGAGCCTCGCGAGGTTGCCCTTACAGTGCGTTGAAACGACGGCCCACTTCCTCCATCCCTTCCTGGCCAAGAGGAAGGACATTTTCCATAATAGCAGCGAGGGACTCGTTATCAGCGTTACTGAAGTTGGGGACACCAGCACGACCACTGCGCTTGGCAGACCCAC